CCATACCGGGAACCGAACTCACAACCTTGCACTTGCCAGGAAGGCGCTTTGCCGCTGAGCTAAACCCCCAGTCCCGAGTGGGAGATTCTTTAACCAGTGTAGTAACAGTAATACATGGCAGTCACTAAGATGACTTTAGCATCAAATCAAACCAGAGAGCACCAGCATGCTCACAGTTCGGCACTGAGGGCACTCGTGCCAGCTCTCCTGCTTTCTTTCCCCTAAGAAAAATGCCTGTTGTTAGAATTAAGTGGAGCAGCCTACTCACAGTGACTGGCACAGGGAAATACAGTAAGAATATTGCATCCCATTTGTTTCCCTTTCAGCCATCGTGGAAGTTTTGGAGACCCAGGGTTCTCTATTCTCTGTCCATGCCCATCCTCCTGAGTGGAGACGTAGTGGATATAAGGTGCCAGGCCCTTGGTCGGGTGGAAGGTGGTCCACTTTTGGGACATAGTTGTCCCCAGGGGCAGTCAGGCTACAACTGGACAGACATCATGGCATCACTGCAACTTCCAAACACACCTGGCCCACTCCCCTGGGGGAACTGCTTTGCACAAATAGCTTGATTGTCCCTCTGCATTTGTTTATCTGCTCCATTACCTAGGTGCAGTCTGTGCGGTACCTTTCTACCTTTTTGATCCAGCCCGCACTTTAGGGTTTATGTCTTGAAACCTTTGCTGTTGGATTTACCTTCATTTCCCCTTCCAACAGTTGGGCACTGCTGAGGACACAAAATAATGAGTAGGGCAGAGGTCTTGACCTTAGGGACTTAAGTCTGGTGGGGGCCACACAGAAAGACCTCGAACGTAATCCTGGAAGTGCAAACGGGTGTGTGTCACAGACGTAGGAGGTGTTCTGAAGACTTCATGGAGAAGGTGACACCTAAGAGAACCAGGAAGAATGAGCAGAGGTTTCTGGGAGGAGTGAGGCTGACTTCCAGGTGGAGGAAGAGGGGGTGCAAAGGCACGCAGCTGCCCCTCAGCTGTCTCCCCCGCTGCAGTGCTGCACAAAGTGGCCTCCACCCCCAAAGCACTCCCTGGCCTCAACAGTTGCGTATTGTCTCTGACCCCATCCCACAGAGACTTCAGGAGATCCCTCCCTCTCAGAACCCTTCTCCCCGCCCCCTTCCCCGCGCCATTCAGTGACGCTGCAGCTAGGAAATTGACACGAATTTTAAAGAGCAGAAGTACTTTACTTTTACATCGATTTCCTTGTCAAACTTTACACCAGAGCAGTTTCCTATTGAAAGAGGTATTCTCTTTAGTTCTATGTGTATTTCCTTGTCACACAAGTGACTCGGAATTAGCACCTGTGTGGAGACATTAACAACCCAAAGCACACAACCACTCAGCTTCTCAAAACATTGGAAAATGCAAGGAGCATATCAGGGTTCTGTGAAATAAGCAGTCTTTCATAGTTTATTTTCAAAAATTGGACTAAGCCTAATAATAAACAGACCAGCGCTTGGCTAAGAATGTTTCTAAAGGTGATGGCAGTCATGTGGTTAAACTGACAAATCATTTTTCAAAGATGTACAAATTTACTTATGTACCCTGTCATATGATGCTCTTTAATGTGCCTATTGAGACAACCTGTTGAAAGTTTTTTTTTTTTTTCCTGTTGAAAGTTTTTGTTTTTGATTTGCTATGATTTTGATGTGTACTTTTAAGGAATATAATAGAAATTTCAGAGCTCTCAAATGTCTAAAAAAACCTCTTGATTTCCTTTATTTCTTTTTATTCCTGAAATTAGAGTGTTTTTTATACAGTGTACTCACGTTAAGTATTCAGTTATAATACTGATGTTATTATTAAGTCAGTAATTACTTAACACCTCTTACCAAGAGAGCATATGAAGTTAGGACCATGTGGCCTGTAGCTGAAATGTCTTGTGGTTTTTCATGAGATGCCCTGGGACCTTCTTGCTCGGAGCACTTATCCTTTTAATGAACCTAACACAGTGAATGGGGGCAGAGGGGACATGATAGATGCCTTTAGATCTTTTAAAACTTTTATGGAAAGCTTTATGACTTCTGAAAACTGTTCTGAAGATTAAGGCACTAGATAAATGTACTCATTTCTTATTGCCACTTTAACAAATTACCATAAATTTGTGGCCTAAGATAGCACATACTTATTATCTTACAGTTCTGTAAGTCAGATGTTCAGAATGGGACTCCTGAGTAAGATCAGGCTGTGGGCAGGACTCTGTTCTCCATGGAGGCCTGGGGAGAATATGTGTCCTCGCCCTTCCCAGCATCTCCCAACACCCCTGTTCCTGGGCTCCCTTCCTGCATCTTCAGAGCAGCAGCAGTGAGATTCGTCCTCCTTGTACCACTTACTCTGTCTCTTGTCTGCCTTCTCCTTCTACATTTAAGGACCCTTGTGTTCCACTGGGCCTCCCCGGCTAACCCAGGATAATCTTCTATTTGAGGATTAACTGACAAGCAGCCTTAATTTATCTACGACATTAATTCCCCCTTTGCCATGCAGCATAGTGTTACGATTTGTGTCTAGATGTCCCCCCTAACAAGCCTCATGTGTTCATAGGACTTTTCAGAGGTGCAATCTGGAGTGTGTGATTGATTTGTAGTGCAGTGCTGGAATTAAGGGTGCTGGGACTAAGTGGGTGATTGCTGGATCTGTCTACTGATTGGTTGGCACCACCCTAGTCCTGGTAGAGTGGAGACGATATAAGAGATGGGAAGAGGCTTGTCTCCTCCCCCTTGTTGCCTTTGCTTGCTTCTGCTGCTGTGAACTGTTGCCCCTCTGCCATGTGCCACCCTGCCTTAAAGCCAGCTGACTGTGGACTGAAACCTGTACAAACTGTGAGCTAAATAAACCTTTCCTCCTTTAACTTTGGGTGTCAGGTATTTTGTCTCAGCAGCGAGATAAGTAGTTAAGACACATAGTCACAGATTCCAGGACAGCTTTCAAAGAAGAGGAGGCTGGAAGAGCATTCTTCTGCCTTCCATGGTAGGCATCATCCTTCTGTGATGATTCAGTTTCCACTGTTTATCCAACAGTTAGAAAAACTTTGAAGGCTCTGCTTGGGTAGTAACTGTGGCCAGCAAGTGCTGGGAAAAGACAGAGGGCCATCCAGCTGTGAGGAGCTTGCGGACTGTGACAGGAAGTCAGCCCATGAGTCATTGCTGTGGTCAGCATGAAGGCCTGCATGCTGACATGTGCACGGGCAGCACTTTGGGAGGACATGGGGACTGGCTGTGGCCGAACAAAGCAGCTCTCCTGACTGATTTGCCAAAGAGCCATCAGTGTGTGATTTTGGGGGCTCAGTCAACAGGAAAGAGTCCCAAATCCCAAAGAGAAACCAGAGTTCACCACTGCCCGGTGTACCCCACCCACCAGCTCGTTTGCTTTGCTCCTTTCATTGTTTACCTGGCCCCTGAACGGGGAGAGGGTAAGGAGTCTGAACACTGGTGGGCAGGGGTTAGGGGGAGGGGATGGAGACCGTTGAAGGTTTGAAATGGGGCTCATCCGATCGCTCTTGTATGGGAGACAGTAACCTCTTGCTTGCACATCTCTTAACATTTTTTAACAGACTTAAAAGTGAGATTTCATGATGCAGCTTAAGTGGAAAAGAGGAGCAGAACGTGAGGAGGACAGCTGTGGTGTACCAGAAAATGCACCGAGTTTGGGCTTGGCCCCAAGCTTGATGCCAGGCCCTGGCACACGGAACACGTGGCCCTAGGCAAGTCAGTCTGTGTGTGAGGTCCGCTCTCCTGAGCCTGTTAGCGAGCATAGTGACCATCCCGGCCCATGCGGGCGGTTGGAGGTGGGAGGGCAGCAGTGTGAAAGTGCCGGGCAGCGCGGGGGCTGGGGAGACTCTGGCACTGTTCATCTGTCCAGCACATGAGTGTTGTAGCCTCACCTTCATTTTTCCTGATTCCTGTCTGTAAGAGTCTCGGGGTACCTTTTGGAACCACATTTATAATAATAGTCTAGACTGTGGTGGAATGCCTTCTTTTGTGAAAAATATGATCTTGTGTTTAGACATATCTTCATCCCACAGATGTTTATTGATCACATTTTATGCCTCCTGGGCACAACTGCGGGGAATGCTGTGCACCCCTGCCTGTGACATCCCAGACATGGCTGACAAAGAAGCGTGTCACTTCACTTTTATACAAAAGTGAAGTCAGTACATGGTCAGGTGTAATTGAGTGCCAAGTGGGTGGCGTGCAAAGCCCTTTTAAGTTCAGAGCGGGGTGAAAATTAGGCTGAGTTGGCCTTGAAAGAAAAGCTTTCTGGAAGAGATGAAAGTTCAGCAGATCTTTCAAGGCTGGCCCTGTGTGTTTGGCAGGAGTACAAAGCGGGAGAACGGGAGGAGAGTGTGTGGTGGTCAGACGAAGACACAGACCACGGCCAGTTAATCGTTCTCCCCTTCTGGAAACGTTTATGTGCCTAGCAACTGTGAGCTGGGGTTCCTCCCTACTCCTATTTATTTTGTTTAGTATGATTCCCTAGCTCCACACACAGTACCTGGCACATGGTAGGCACTTTAGGGTGGTTTGTATTAGACTAGAAATCAACCAGCACAGCAGAGAGCCTTGTACCTGTGCCTTGGTATTCCCTTTACTCATCCATGGAAGCAGACAAAGGGATGACAGAGACTTGCTATGCAGAGACAAATCATCTACCCAAGCCCTTCTCCACCCGGCTGCTCTTTGGGGCCTTATTTATACACCTATAGCTCCAGGCTTCGCATCCATGCCTAGAATACTTGGGAAGGAACACTTGTGAAAGTGTGGGTGTAAGACACACAGGAAGGGAGTTGTCTTTGTTGACCTCCTGCTATGCAGTTGCCAGATGTGTCCTCTCGTCTCCATGTTCCTGCGAGCTCATCTGTCCCTGATGTCGCAGATCACAACAGTGAGGAGAGAAGCTGCTGACAGAGACCAAGTCACAAGTCGATGACTACACAAGAGTCTAAAAATTTATTACATGATTGTAATCTGCTGTTTGCTTTTTTACTTTTAGATTTCTCACATTGGCAAACTGAAAGATTTTCTTCTGGAACACAGGAAAGATTATATTAATGCTTATAGGTAAGTGCATAATGTTTTGGCCATGACTTTGGGTACTGTTTTCTATACCTCTATTGCTATCGTTTTAGAGCTTTCTGTCCCCATGTTTTACTTAACAACTGAGAGCTGTACTGGGGAAGATCAGTCTGGCAGTGGGAGAGTATCTGCCTGTAAGGGAAGGTCCTAGAGCTAGGGCCCTGCCGTGCTGTGGCCCCGGGCGTGATACTGCCATAGCAGCCTCTTCTGGTCTGGTATATCTCCGCAGGTGCAAATGACACTCCTTGCACACTCACAACGCAGTGCCTGAGTTGCGGACACGTGTGTTTCTATCTCCTGAACCGATGAGGAGCAAGGTTTTCAAGCTCTGTTCTGCTGCTTCTGCCTATCTTGCTGTCCCGACCAGGGACCATGGCGTTACTGCCTGGTGGTGTCCTCTTGAGCATACTTCTTTCCCTCACCTTCCTGTCCCTCCCTTCCTGCCAGTGCCCAGCCACAGTCCTGCAGCCATCTTCTTCTTGTGTCCCTCTCACAGGCTTCTGACCTGTGCTACAGACAGGAGGATGGTCACTTTGGCTTTGCCTTCGTATCTCAGGGCACTTTGGTGACTCCTAGTACCTAGGTCCGGTTTGTACCACTGTGTAGCCATAGTCTTTTTGAAACATCCATTGAATTCTGTCCCACCTGAGCAGACCCACTACGAATACCTGGCTGGGTTAGCATCAGCACCAGCCCCATACCACGGCTTTGCTCTGGTGGCCTGACTTCATGTCAAACCCTGCCTGCCTTGCATCCTGCCGTGGTGTTCCTGTGCTGCTGCCTTCCGGGTGCACACTGTCTCCCTCCCCTCGCGTCTCCTTCAGGCTCCAGCACGGTCTTCTGAGAAGCCTTCTCCCACCACCCTTCATGAGCGGAGCTCTTCTGTTAGCTTCTGTTTCTGTATTCTATTTTTTCATAACACAAATCACAATTTATAATTATTCAATGATAGTAATACTTTATAGACTCATTAGTTAGAGTTTAGAGTTTATCATCTGGCTTTGTTGGCTCTTACAGTTGATAAGTGTTTGCCAAATGATTGAATGAGCGACTCTGCTGTCCCAAAGTCCGCCGTTAGCCCGGTGGTTCTCACCTGGGGTGGTTCTGGGACAGGCCTGCCAATATCTAGAGACATCTTTGTCGAAACTTGCTAGAGAAGTGCTCCTGAGGCCTGGTGGGCAGGGACTGGTGTGCTGTGGTCTTACAGTGCAAGGGACAGCTCTCCACAGAGGGGCAGCATCTGCCACAAAGGTCAGCAGCACTGATGTGGAGACCTTGCTCCAGCCTCGACCTTCACTCTGCAGATTCACTCGCTCGTTCACCAAATGTTTGTTGAATGCCCGCTGGGTGCCTGGGACTGTTCTAGACCATTAGGGCTCATCAGAAACTAAAGAAAAATCCTGCTGCATTTGTGGAGCTTGTATTCTAAGGCTGGGCAAAAACAAGCACTAAGTTTATAGTAAGTCAGGTGACAAGTCCTATGGAACAGAAAGCAGAGCAATCCCTGGGATTGGGAATGCTGGGAAGACTTGCGGCTTCATGGAGTGGTTGGATAGGCCCTGGAGATGGCATCCGGCCTCCTCTGGAAATGGGGGGCCCCTGCAGGGTCACTGTCAGGCTGCCTTAGCACAGATACCCGTCTCTGTAGGGAGACAGTTCCATCTGTTCTTGAGGGCTGCTGTCCTGTCTGAGCTCCTTCTCTGTCTGTAACGTTGCTGCGTTCGTGACTCCCATCTGTTCCTGATGAGCGGGCTTTTTTCTCCTCCCTTCAGTACACGCACTTTCCCTTGCTTCCTGCTTACATCACACCCGTCGTCACTTTCTGTGGCACCCCATGCCCAACACAGGGAGCACGTCTGCACCCGGTCACAGCCTTTGCAAAGGGCCAGAGTGGAAGCACTTTAGGCTCTGTGGCCCTCATTTGCTTTCTGTCACATATGCTTCACTTTTGGTTTGTTTATTGTTTTCTTTTACAGTCTTTGAAAAATGTTAAATCTGTCCTTAGCTCTCAGACTGTACTACCACACCTGTGAGCTGGTTGTGGCCTGCAGGCTGTGGTTTGCTGACTCTGGCTCGTGACCCTTCGCTTCCCTGCCGTGGACTCACCCCTGAGGCTAAAGGTGGACCTCAGTTTCCACCCAGAGCTCATCTCTGGCTTTCTTTTTTTTTTTTTTTTTTTTTTTGGTTTTTCGGTTTTTCTCCGGTACCGGGAACCGAACTCACGACCTTGCGCTTGCCAGGCAG